TCGCCAACAACCAGAACCTGCGCACACGAAGACAAGGCATAGTTCAACTTCAGTCAAGGGAGACCAATGTCGTACTACAAATGTCGAAGGTTTGAATAGCAGAGGGACTCGGGTACAACTTACTCAGTGTTAGTCAGCTGATGGCGAAAGGAATTCATCTCGAAGCAGATAGCACCACTCAGGAGTTCAAACTGTACAACGGGAAGAACGGACTCTACATTGGCAAGGCAGTGTTGAAGAACAATGTCTTCGTCCTTGACTTCGTTCCAGATCAAGGCACCGCCGACAACGACGGAATCGTCACCTTCGCTCCCTGGACACATCCGCCGGATCTCGACCCCGACTTCAGCCCCGGCGGCTTCTGGTACACATACACCATACCTGAGGCAGAACGAACACGAGCATTAGTGACAATCCAACAAGCAAAGACAACATCGGCAGCAGCAGAGATAACATCGGCAGCAGCGGAGACAACATCGACAGCAGTAGAGACAACATCGGCAGCAGCAGATACAACATCGACAGCAACGACAACACCGATCATGACACCAATCGCGGGTCCTTCAACGGCACCAGCTCCTATCGACGATACTCCAACGACTCCTACGCAGCAGTTGACTCCCACTCCACGAGAAGTCCACAGAAGCGCCAACTTCACCGCTGGTTTTTACTCCAACTCCGACCTGTACATACGTTCACCCGGACATCGCGCCAGCAAATCAACCTGGCATGCAAGGATGGGACACCCAAGCAACACAATGTTAAACAACACGATTCGAGCTGGAGTACTTGATAAAGACTCCCTTCTTCTACCCGACGGAAGAGAACTTCAACGAGTTCGAGGAACATGCTTCACCTGCGCTGAAGCCGACTTACCGCATCAGCCGTTCGTCTCTCACCACAACCCAAGTGCGCCAGCATACACACCTTTGGAGAAAGTGTACAGCGACATACTGTACAACCGTGAACCTGGTCAAGGAGCATACAACTACGTCATCACGTTCATCGACGCCGCCACACGATACGTCTGGCACTGCAACCTCCCGAGCCGTGACATGGCCCTCGACGCTTTCGCCGCTTGGCTTCCAGCAGCAGAACGAGAATCAGGAGTGAAGCTGAAAAGCTTCCAGTCAGACGGGGGAGGGGAATATCAGTCACAAAAGTTCAAGGACTACCTGGCAGAAAGAGGCATCAAGCGGCTCATCTCCCTTCCCTACGCTCATCAGCAACAAGGCGTGGCAGAAAGGATGAACAGGACCCTCCAGAACACCATGCGCAAACTGCTACGTGGCATGCGGCTACCCAACCACCAGTGGCCCGAAGCGATGGACCACACTGTCATGCTGCACAACTTGCTCTCGTCATCATCACTCCCGAACAACGCATCACCGCATCTGCTGTGGACAGGAAAATTGGGCAGCACAAAAATGTTACGAGTATTCGGCTACATGGTGTAGTACCGACCCCCAGCTACATGAGCCGGCCGATTCGCCCAACGCGCACAGTGGGGACTACACCTGAGCATCGAGAAACATTACAACGCATGGAAGATTTTCGACAAAAACACAAAGGAAACAGTGGTAGCACGTGATGTCATCTTCTACGAGCGACTGACACTTCCGACATACCTTGCCAACCTGGAAGAAGGAAATCCGGACCTCTCGGACGGATTTCTTGGCGACCGAGCCTTCGCTTTGGCAGCAAACGAAGCTAACTGGGACAGACAAAGGGTGGACTGAGCCTCGGAGGAAGCCGGACCTCTTCCCTACTGCTCGATCGACGTACCAATGGACGACAAAAACCCTCGCGAAAGCATCAACGCCGAAGTCTACTATCACTTTGCTGACAATGGTTACGTTACACCCGTGCAAGTCAACACCGACGAAACAGAACGCGTAGGACCTAATTTCATACCTGATCCAGAAGCAGGAGACGAAGCAGTCTATCCCGAGGATACAACTCTCCCTCGTTACACACAGAGCGGACTGCAGATACTTGGCCTCGTCACCGCAGTCCACGGTTCAGCACCGCCTAAGGAGCCTGCCACAGTTCAGCAGGCTCTGGGGGGGGAGCACAGGGAAAAATGGCGCGAAGCCATGGACAAGGAGTTAAAGGCGCTGGAAGAACGCAACACCTGGACGGTCGTACCTATCGGGGTGGCACGGAACAAGACCATTCTCACCGGATTTTGGGTTTTTCGCGTGAAAACAAAGGCAGACGAAACTATCGACAAATTTAAGGCGCGCTGGGTCGTACGTGGCTTCGACCATTAGCATGGACAATACTTCACCGAAACGTTTGCACCGGTTAGTCGGCATACCTCACTGCGGATTCTCCTTGCGATAGCCGCCATGAAGCGGAAGAAACGAAAGAAACTTCGTCAAATCGACGTCGCCAACGAATTTCTCTACGCACCCGTCGACGCCGAAATCTTTGTCGAGCAACCGCACGGCTCCAACGTAGACCCCAACCAAGTCTGACAGTTACTAAAGTCTCTGTACGACATTAAACAGGCCCCGAGACTGTGGCAACAGTACCTACACGCCCGGCTAATCCGCATCGAATTCAGGCGACTGCCGCACGATCAAGGGATGTACCGCCTCACGAAAGGAGCCGACTACATCCTGCTCATCGTCTACGTGGACGATCTACTCTACATCGGCTCGACCGACGGCGTCACAACATGGTTCGAAGGGGAGCTGCAACAGGATTTAACTCTTATCGTCTCATCAACCGTGACGCAGTACCTAGGACTAAACATACGGGACGGCGAGAACACGATCCACCTCAGCGCCGCAAAATACGCCGACACCGTACTGCTATCTCCACACCGTACCGCTACACCTCCGCAAGTCACGAAGGAACCTCCGTATACGCGACTATCAGTGAAAACTAGGATGCCTGCTATTTGCGGCCATCACCTGCCGACCAGACCTATCGTATTCAGCAAGCCAGCTCGCCACCTACCTTAAGAAACCTGAAGTAGAGCACATGGCGGAACTCGACCGCGCACTCCACTACCTCGTCAGCACTCCGACAATCGGCCTGACCTACCACAAAAACAGAACCTCGACACCTAAGCTAATCGGCTATGTAGATGCCAACCACGCCGACGATGCAGACAACAGGCGCTCGCGCACCGGCTACATCTACCGACTCAAACCTATCGGGCCTATCTCGTGACAGTCGAGCAAGCAGGAACTAATCGCTCTCTCCTCAGCTGAAGCAGAATATACTGCACTCTGCTCAGCCACCAAGGAAAGCTTGTATCTTCGCGAACTGCTGGAAGAAGCGAAGTTGGCCCAGTTACCCAGCTTCACTCTGTTCTGCGACAACCAATCTGCAATTCGCATAGCGAACAAGAACGGGTTCGCGAACCGGACAAAGCATATCGCTCTGCGATATTTCTTCGTGAAAGACGAGATCGAGAAGGGGAGACTCGAACTATCCTATTGCCCCACGTCCGAGATGGCAGCTGATTACTTGACCAAGAAGCTCGCAAAGCAGAAGTTCGAGTACTGCATGCTGCTGACTGGACAAAGCCACGTCACCAGCAGCGACACTCCAGAAGCGAAGGGGAGTGTTGGAAACAATTAAATGAAACGCTTCTTATGTGTCATAACACCGAACTACAAACGAGGCGAACTATAGAGGAACAACGGCGAGTCAACCATTGGAGGTTGACAAGAGAAGTAACTGCTGGAGGTTACGCGAAGGTCAAAGGTCAGCGACCTTTGATATGAAAAATACAGCGCGACAGCAATGACAAACAACTGATTCGATACTGAGCAGTTGCCCGAGTCGTCACTGTATCGAACCGCAACAGCAACAGTAAAACAGTTATTAGTTGCACCCTTTCATATTCCTTGTAACCTTATAAAAGCTAGTATTACTTTTCTATAATCAAACTATCTTGCCCTCACACACTAGCGCAAGGTGGTTCAACACTTGTTACTAAACGCTTCCGCACATACAACACTTCTACTAAGAGTTTAGCCTTGAAAAGATCCTAAGGGCTTTTCTCAGCCCAAAACCCGCTACATTGAAAAGCCCTTTTATCCCAGTAGTTAGTGGCTGTGATTCTGACATGGTATCAGAGCGAAGGTCTCGGGTTCAAATCCAAGTGCGTGCACTTCGGGCATCCCAGTGCGGGGGGTTGTAATGTAAGAGGTCACTGGTGTTCGCCGATTGATCCTAGGAAAGGGTTACAGGCACATTGGCCTAGGGGGTTATGGGCGCACTCACCCGCTACACAAAAAAACCATTTTATCCCAGTGGCTACTGGCTGGGATTCTGACACTATATACCGCCATCGCCCGGATAGAAAACAGTGTTGAATAGTTGACAAGGGTTGGCTATTATCCGGGTGTCTCTTCTAAACAGGCTAGCCTCATTTTAAGACACCTTTTATGTGTACGAGTTAAGCTAGTGTAGGGGTTAGGGGCAACTGTATAGCGAGGGGGTATCTTCTAAACGGTTCTTTGTCCATTTATAAGACTTATAAGACACCTTAACCCGTCCCAAATACAAGATAACCCAAGCATTTTGAGTAGTGTACGAGATAAGACATATATGTCTTATATCCGGGCGATGACGGTACGGAGAAATATGGTATGGCGACTGCACTGCACACTCCTTGAAGAGTCGTGTCGTGTCACAATTCACTTGTGAAATGAAAGTACACAAAATATAACATTACCAGAGCTCTAGAGGCAAAAGCAGCAAAGGTTCATCCAAGCAAACTAAGTCACTGGCGCAACATCTACTGAAGAATGATTGGAAAGGAACAGCTGCAAAGATCAGCGTACAGACCCCATGGCTCCAAACTTGGGTTCCATTGGTCTTGGACACATGCACATGCTGAGAGGTGCTCACCCGTAGTAAGCAGAGACACACAACTGCAATCAAAGATGCACCAAATGGGAAGCACTGGAGATATCATTTGCTATGGAACATGTCGACAGTGCATTGCACTGCAAGCATCTAGACCAGTACACCCCTCAAAATAGAGAAGCAATAGATGTGCCCAAGCTTACATAATCAGTGTCGCGCATGGAATTGCGGAAGGAGATCCAGGGGTTGAGCCTGCAGAGGTCCACCATGGTGGCTCCATTGGATGCCGCCACCTGCTTGAAGTCCTCCACTCGGCCGATCTTTATCTTCTTCACACATCTCGGCTTGGCCTTGGCTGGGTCGCGCTCCAGACAGAGAGAGCGGAACGCAAGCAGGCGAGAGGAGCAGCTAACACCGGGGTTGAGCTGCTGCAGGCTTTCCTTGGTAATGCTGAGAAACTGAGCCACAGATGAGCATGTGTCATTCTGTGGGAGGGAAAGGAGAGTGGTAGGTGATCAAAGGGGGTGAAGGAAGATGCAGCAACATATGGGTTGTGGAATGCTGGGAACGCTAGGGTGCAAAGAGGACCGAGTGTCACGTGGTCTTACTGCTGCTTGGGAAAACGATGGTCAGGCGAAGAGTGAAGGGTGAAGAGAAAGAACAGCATATGTCAGCACACGGTGGTAGTGGTACCATCCCCACTATCCATGCGTGATGCATGGGATGCTCCCAAAACAGACTCAACTCAAAGCGTGAGACTCATCGGCTGGACGTAGTAGAAGGCAGAGCAAGCTGGCAGCAGCTCTTTCACCACGAGCTCGCGACCCTGAGGAAGGAGAGCAGAGCAGTCAATACCCTGGAGAGGAAAGGGCAGTGAGAGAGGGAGAGGGTGAGCAACAGGTGAGGTGGAAAGAGAAAGAAAGGGTGAGAGAGCAAGAGAGGGTGAAAGAGGGTGGAAGGGAGATATATGGTACAGAAACAGGAAGGGCGCACATGCGTGTGGCGATGGTTTGGCACATGATTCATGTCTGTGAACTGCTGCAGCGTGAGGCCATACACGGTGTACACGTCCTTGCACCTCCAGTTGCTGCCTGCGACTCTGATGGACGAAACGGCCGCCCAGTACTCATCTGCACATGTTCAACCGGAATGGTGATAATGCCACGTACGCAAGTCAACCATTAATTACAACAACACAGCACATTAGATCCGGGAACACACAGCTTGAATTTCTACGTGTGAAGTGCTCGCAGCATCCACTATTGTGTGATGAGTTGGCAGCAGAGAGCACAGTTGTATCTATGAGGGCTTACCACAGGTGTAATCACGAGGGCTTACCACAGGTGTAATCACGAGGGCTTACCACAGGTGTAGCAGTAAGAGTAATCACATCTGTAGACATTCAAGGGGTGGTTGGGCAGACAGACGCAGGTCCAGTCCTGGGTGCCGCGGTGGATGCACGTGCCCCCCAAACACCCACTGACTCTGTCGTTGCCACACACACCCGCTGGTGGGGGACACACACAAGAAGCAGAGGATGGATAGCACTGGAGTCGCAAGGGGGATCCGTGGGGCAGGAAGGAAAGGGTAGAGAAGACGAGGAGCATCGCTGCTGCGAATACTGAAATGCTTTGATCAGGCAATGGTGCTTCCCAGGGGCACGAGCGATGCCAGCTCCCCAAAACACCCCCCTTGCGTGGGAACCAGATCGGGAAAGGATGATGGGATGGCGAACAACTTCAGCAACGAGGCTTACTGCTTGAACTCTCTGCGTCTGGGTACTCAGAAGGAGTTGTGGTGTTGCTGGCAGGGGCTGTGGTGTTGCTGGAAGGAGCTGTGGTGTTGCTGGCAGGAACTGTGGTGTTGGCAGGAGCTGTGGTGTTGCTGGCAGGAGCTGTGGTGTTGCTGGCAGGAGCTGTGGTGTTGCTGGCAGGAGCTGTGGTGTTGCTGGCAGGAGCTGTGGTGTTGCTGGCAGGAGCTTTGGTGTTGCTGGCAGGAGCTGTGGTGTTGCTGGCAGGAGCTGTGGTGTTGCTGGAAGGAGCTGTGGTGTTGCTGGAAGGAGCTGTGGTGTTGCTGGCAGGAGCTGTGGTGTCGCTGGGAGTAGGGGTAGAGTACCGAGCACTCACGCAAAGCTGCAATAGAAGATGCACCAGTTGCAATGGAACACACAGGATCGAAGGACAGGATTCATGAGACGATACAAAGCATGTTGAAAAATGGAAATTCATTCATTACAAAATGTATCGACTTACAGATGAAATACGTATCGACGTGCAGACAAACTGCACAACCAGTAACTCAGTCATTTGCCTTGGAACTTACATAATCAATGTCGCGCAGGGAATCGCGGAAGGAGATCCAGGGGTTGAGCCTGCAGAGGTCCACCATGGTGGCTCCATTGGATGCCGCCACCTGCTTGAAGTCCACCACTCGATCAATCTTTATCCTATTCTCACAGCTCGGCTTGGCTTTGGCTGTGTCGCGCTCCACACAGAGAGAGCGGAACGCAAGCAGGCGAGAGGAGCAGCTTACACCGGGGTTGAGCTGCTGCAGGCTTTCCTCGGTGATGCTGAGAAACTGAGCCACAGATGAGCATGTGTCATTCTGTGGGGGGGGAAAGGAAAGTGGTAGGTGGTCAAAGGGGGTGAAGGAAGATGCAGCAACGCATGGGTTGTGGAATGCTGGGAACGCTAAGGTGCAAAGAGGACCAAGTGTCACGTGGTCTTACTGCTGCTTGGGAAAAAGATGGTCAGGCGAAGAGTGAAGGGTGAAGAGAAAGAACAGCATATGTCAGCACATGGTGTGATGCATGGGATGCTCCCCTAGCAGACTCAACTCAAAGTGTGAGACTCACCGGCTGGACGTAGTAGAAGGCAGAGCAAGCTGGCAGCAGCTCTTTCACCACGAGCTCGCGAACCTGAGGAAGGAGGGCGGAGTAGTCGATACCCTGGAGAGGAAGGGGCAGTGAGAGAGGGAGAGGGTGAGCAACAGGTGAGGTGGAAAGAGAGAGAAAGGGTAAGAGTGCAAGAGAGGGTGAAAGAGGGTGGAAGGGAGATATGGCGCAGAAATAGGAACGGCGCAACGTGCAAAAATTACGCACACATGCTTGTGGCAATGGTGTGGCGCAGCATGTGTCAGAGCTCACATGATTCATGTCTGTGAACTGCTGCAGCGTGAGGCCATACACGGTGTACACGTCCTTGCACCTCCAGTTGCTGCCTCCGACTTTGATGGATGAAACGGCCGCCCAGTTCTCATCTGCACACGTTGAAAGGGAATGGTGATAATGCCATGTACGCGGGCCAACCATTAATGACAACAACACAGCACATTAGATCCGGGAACACACAGCTTAAATTTCTACGTGTGAAGTGCTCGCAGCATCCACTACTGTGTGAGGCGTTGGCATCAGAGAGCGAGCTTTCCACAGTTGTATCTATGAGGGCTTAACACAGTTGTAATCACGAGGGCTTACCACAGGTGTAGCACTGAGAGTAAGCACAACCGTAGACTTTCAAGGGGTGGTTGGGCAGACAGACGCAGGTCCAGTCCCGGGTGCCGCGGTGGATGCACGTGCCCCCCAAACACCCACTGACTCTGTCGTTGCCACACACACCCGCTGGTGGGGGACACACACAAGAAGCAGAGGATGGATAGCACTGGAGTCGCAAGGGGGATCCGTGGGGCAGGAAGGAAAGGGTAGAGAAGACGAGGAGCATCGCTGCTGCGAATACTGAAATGCTTTGATCAGGCAATGGTGCTTCCCAGGGGCACAAGCGATGCCAGCTCCCCAAAACAACCCTTCGCGAGGGAACCAGATCGGGAAAGGATATGGGATGGCGAACAACTTCAGGAATGAGGCTTACTGATAGAACTCTCTGCGTCGGGATACTCAGAAGGAGCTGTGTTGTTGCTGGCAGGAGCTGTGGTGTTGCTGGCAGCAGCTGTGGCGTTGCTGGCAGGATCTGTGGTGTTGCTGGCAGGAGCTGTGGTGTTGCTGGCAGGAGCTGTGGTGTTGCTGGCAGGAGATGTGGTGTTGCTGGCAAGAGCTGTGGCGTTGCTGGCAGGAGCTGTGGTGTTGCTGGCAGGAGCTGTGGTGTTGCTAGCAGGAGCTGTGGTGTTGCTGGCAGGAGCTGTGGCGTTGCTGGCAGGAGCTGTGGTGTTGCTGGCAGGAGCTGTGGTGTTGCTGGCAGGAGCTGTGGTGTCGCCGGGAGGAGGTGTAGCGTATTGGGCACTCACGCAAAGCTGCAATAGAAGATGCACCAGTTACAATGGAACACACAGGAATCAAGGACTGGAATCATAAGAAGCTTTGAAGCATGCTGCACGCATGTAGACGAGGGGATGCTTCAATCCTAGTTACAGAATATATCGACTCACAGATAGAATATGTATCCACTTCTAAAGCACAAACAGCAACTACTCAGTCATTGGCCATAAACTTACACCATCATACTCGCGCAGGGAATTGCGGAAGGAGATCCAGGGATTGAGCCTGCAGAGGTCCACCATGGTGGCTCTATTGGATGCCGCCACCAGCTTGAAGTCCTCCACTCGGCCGATCCGTATCTTTTTCAAACATGTCGGCCTGGCTTTTGCTGGGCTGCGCTCCACACACAGAGAGCGGAACGCAAGCAGGCGAGAGGAGTAGCTAACACCGGGGTTGAGCTGCTGCAGGCTTTTCTCGGTGATGCTGAGAAATCGAGCCACAGACGAGCATGTGTCGGCCTGTGGAAGCGGAAGGGAAGTGGAAAATGTTAGGGGGGGGTTGGAAATAAAAGAGGTGGTCAAAGGGGGTGAAGGAAGATGCAGCAACACAGTGATAGCAGAACGCTAAGGTGCAAAAAGGACCGCAAGGCACGTGGCGTTCCTGCTGCTGCTTGGGCGAAGGATGGTTAGGGGGAGCGTGAAGGGAGAAGATGAAGCACAGCACATGTCAGCACATGGTGGCACTGGTAATATCCCCGCTATCCAAACGTGATGCATGTGAGGGAGAGAGGGCGCGGGTGAGGGAGAGGGAGACAGTGGAGCGGTGGGTGAAAGAGGGAGAGGTGAGAGGCGGAGGGGGTACAGAAACAATAATAAATCGAGATGTTCAATTTAGGCACACAGGCTTGCATTGTAGGTCTCACCGGGTTCATGTCGGTGAACTGCTGCAGCGTGAGGCCATACACGGTGTACACGTCCTTGCACCTCCAGTCGCTGCCCACGACTGTGATGGACGAAACGGCCTCCCATTTCTGATCTGCACACGCTCAACAGGAACGGTGAACATGCCACGTACGTGACGCATAGGAGAAATCACATCTGATCCAAGAAACCACACACTTTGAGTTTCATTAGGAAAACGTATGTTTGCAATATAGACTATTGTATGGAGATTAGCGAGCAGAGGGAGAGGTTACCACAGTATCTGCCCTGAAAGCGGTGGTTGGGCAGGCAGACGCAGGTCCAGTCCTTGGTGCCGTGGGGGATGCATGTGCCCCCCAAACACGGGTTGAGTCTGTCGTAGCCACACATGCCATCTGCGGGGGGACACACACAAGAAGCAGAGGAGGGCAGGTACTGGAGCGGCAAGGAGGATACCACTGGGGGATCCGTAGGGGAGGAAAGGGCAGAGAAGGCGAGGAGCATCGCTGCTGCCAGTTTTGGAATGCTTTTGATCAGGCAATGGTGCTTCCCAGGGGCACAAGCGATGCCAGCCCCAACGTAGCCCCCTCGCGTGGGAGCCAGATCGGTTTTGGCAAGATGGATGGCGAACAACCGCATTGGGGCTTACTGCTTAAACTCTCTGCGTCGGGGTACTCAGAAGGAGCTGTGGTGTTGCTGGCGGGAGCTGTGGTGTTGCTGGCAGGAGCTGTGGTGTTGCTGGCGGGAGCTGTGGTGTTGCTGGCTGGAGCTGTGGTGTTACTAGCAGGAGTTGTGGCCACACTCGCCACCCCCGATGTTGCGGCTGCTGCCTGCGACGCCCACAGTGGACTCGCTGCAAGGATGATGGGAGCACGTGAAACGCGAAGGTGCACGGCCAGGAAGCGTGGTCAGTGCGAATGCGACTAGCATCCATCTTGGTGTGAGGTGCATTAAACGTGTGAGGTGCATTGAACGTGTGAGGTGCATTGAACGTGTGAGGTGCATTGAACGTGTGAGGTGCATTGAACGTGTGAGGTGCATTGAACGTGTGAGGTGCATTGACAGGTGAGGTGCATAACGTGAGGTGCATTGAACGTGTGAGGTGCATTGAACGTGTGAGGTGCATGAACGTGTGAGGTTTGCAGTTAATTGAACGTGTGAGGTGCATTGAAGGTGTGAGGTGCATTGAACATGTGAGGTGCATGAACGTGTGAGGAGCAATGAGCATGTGAGGTGCATGAACGTGTGAGGTGCATAACGTGAGGTGCATTGAACGTGTGAGGTGCATTGAACGTGTGAGGTGCATAACGTGAGGTGCATTGAACGTGTGAGGTGCATTGAAGGTGTGAGGTGCATTGAACGTGTGACGTGCATTGAACGTGTGAGGTGCATTGAACGTGTGAGGTGCATAACGTGAGGTGCATTGAACGTGTGAGGTGCATTGAACGTGTGAGGTGCATAACGTGAGGTGCATTGAACGTGTGAGGTGCATGAACGTGTGAGGTGCATTGAAGGTGTGAGGTGCATTGAACGTGTGAGGTGCACTGAACGTGTGAGGTGCATGAACGTGTGAGGTGCATGAACGTGTGAGGTGCATTGAACGTGTGAGGTGCATGAACGTGTGAGGTGCATTGAACGTGTGAGGTGCATAACGTGAGGTGCATTGAACGTGTGAGGTGCATTGAAGGTGTGAGGTGCATTGAACGTGTGAGGTGCATGAACGTGTGAGGTGTGAGGTGCATTGAACGTGTGAGGTGCATGAACGTGTGAGGTGCATTGAACGTGTGAGGTGCATTGAACGTGTGAGGTGCATTGAACGTGTGAGGTGCATTGAACGTGTGAGGTGCATTGAACGTGTGAGGTGCATAACGTGAGGTGCATTGAAGGTGTGAGGTGCATTGAAGGTGTGAGGTGCATTGAACGTGTGAGGTGCATGAACGTGTGAGGTGTGAGGTGCATGAACGTGTGAGGTGCATTGAACGTGTGAGGTGCATTGAACGTGTGAGGTGCATTGAACGTGTGAGGTGCATTGAACGTGTGAGGTGCATTGAACGTGTGAGGTGCATGAACGTGTGAGGTGCATTGAACGTGTGAGGTGCATTGAACGTGTAAGGTGCATGAACGTGTGAGGTGCATTGAACGAGTGAGGTGCATGAATGTGTGAGGTGCATTGAACGTGTGAGGTGCATTGAACGTGTGAGGTGCATGAACGTGTGAGGTGCATTGAACGTGTGAGGTGCATTGAACGTGTGAGGTTAATAACGTGAGGTGCATTGAACGTGTGAGGTGCTTTGAAGGTGTGAGGTGCATTGAACGTGCGAGGCGCATGAACGTGTGAGGTGTGAGGTTCATTGAACGTGTGAGGTGCATTGAAGGTGTGAGGTGCATTGAACGTGTGAGGTGCATGAACGTGTGAGGAGCATTGAACGTGTGAGGTGCACTGAACGTGTGAGGTGCATAACGTGACGTGCATTGAACGTGTGAGGTGCATGAACGTGTGAGGTGCATGAACGTGTGAGGTTTGCAGTTCATTGAACGTGTGAGGAGCATTGAACGTGTGAGGTGCATTGAACGTGTGAGGTGCATGAACGTGTGAGGAGCATTGAGCGTGTGAGGTGCATGAACGTGTGAGGTGCATTGAACGTGTGAGGTGCATTGAACGTGTGAGGTGCATAACGTGAGGTGCATTGAACGTGTGAGGTGCATTGAACGTGTGAGGTGCATTGAACGTGTGAGGTGCATAACGTGAGGTGCATTGAACGTGTGAGGTGCATTGAACGTGTGAGGTGCATGAACGTGTGAGGAGCATTGAGCGTGTGAGATGCATGAACGTGTGAGGTGCATTGAACGTGTGAGGTGCATTGAACGTGTGAGGTGCATAACGTGAGGTGCATTGAACGTGTGAGGTGCATTGAAGGTGTGAGGAGCATTGAACGTGTGAGGTGCACTGAACGTGTGAGGTGCATGAACGTGTGAGGTGCATTGAACGTGTGAGGTGCATTGAACGTGTGAGGTGCATAACGTGAGGTGCATTGAACGTGTGAGGTGCATGAACGTGTGAGGTTTGCAGTTCATTGAACGTCTGAGGAGCATTGAAGGTGTGAGGTGCATTGAACGTGTGAGGAGCATTGAGCGTGTGAGGTGCATGAACGTGTGAGGTGCATTGAACGTGTGAGGTGCATTGAACGTGTGAGGTGCATAACGTGAGGTGCATTGAACGTGTGAGGTGCATTGAAGGTGTGAGGTGCATTGAACGTGTGAGGTGCATGAACGTGTGAGGTGTGAGGTGCATGAACGTGTGAGGTGCATTGAACGTGTGAGGTGCATGGAACGTGTGAGGTGCATTGAACGTGTGAGGTGCATGAATGTGTGAGGTGCATTGAACGTGTGAGGTGCATTGAACGTGTGAGGTGCATTGAACGTGTGAGGTGCATGAACGTGTGAGGTGCATTGAACGTGTGAGGTGCATGAACGTGTGAGGTGCATGAACGTGTGAGGTGCATTGAACGTGTGAGGTGCATTGAACGTGTGAGGTGCATAACGTGAGGTGCATTGAACGTGTGAGGTGCATTGAACATGTGAGGTGCACTGAACGTGTGAGGTGCATTGAACGTGTGAGGTGCATTGAACGTGTGAGGTGCATTGAACGTGTGAGGTGCATTGAACGTGTGAGGTGCATTGAACGTGTGAGGTGCATGAACGTGTGAGGTGCATTGAACGTGTGAGGTGCATGAACGTGTGAGGTGCATGAACGTGTGAGGTGCATTGAACGTGTGAGGTGCATTGAACGTGTGAGGTGCATAACGTGAGGTGCATTGAACGTGTGAGGTGCATTGAACGTGTGAGGTGCATTGAACGTGTGAGGTGCACTGAACGTGTGAGGTGCATGAACGTGTGAGGTGCATGAACGTGTGAGGTGCATTGAACGTGTGAGGTGCATGAACGTGTGAGGTGCATTGAACGTGTGAGGTGCATAACGTGAGGTGCATTGAACGTGTGAGGTGCATTGAAGGTGTGAGGTGCATTGAACGTGTGAGGTGCATGAACGTGTGAGGTGTGAGGTGCATTGAACGTGTGAGGTGCATGAACGTGTGAGGTGCATTGAACGTGTGAGGTGCATTGAACGTGTGAGGTGCATTGAACGTGTGAGGTGCATTGAACGTGTGAGGTGCATTGAACGTGTGAGGTGCATAACGTGAGGTGCATTGAAGGTGTGAGGTGCATTGAACGTGTGAGGTGCATGAACGTGTGAGGTGTGAGGTGCATGAACGTGTGAGGTGCATTGAACGTGTGAGGTGCATTGAACGTGTGAGGTGCATTGAACGTGTGAGGTGCATTGAACGTGTGAGGTGCATTGAACGTGTGAGGTGCATGAACGTGTGAGGTGCATTGAACGTGTGAGGTGCATTGAACGTGTAAGGTGCATGAACGTGTGAGGTGCATTGAACGTGTGAGGTGCATGAATGTGTGAGGTGCATTGAACGTGTGAGGTGCATTGAACGTGTGAGGTGCATGAATGTGTGAGGTGCATTGAACGTGTGAGGTGCATTGAACGTGTGAGGTGCATGAACGTGTGAGGTGCATTGAACGTGTGAGGTGCATTGAACGTGTGAGGTTAATAACGTGAGGTGCATTGAACGTGTGAGGTGCATTGAAGGTGTGAGGTGCATTGAACGTGTGAGGCGCATGAACGTGTGAGGTGTGAGGTTCATTGAACGTGTGAGGTGCATTGAAGGTGTGAGGTGCATTGAACGTGTGAGGTGCATGAACGTGTGAGGAGCATTGAACGTGTGAGGTGCACTGAACGTGTGAGGTGCATAACGTGAGGTGCATTGAACATGTGAGGTGCATGAACGTGTGAGGTGCATGAACGTGTGAGGTTTGCAGTTCATTGAACGTGTGAGGAGCATTGAACGTGTGAGGTGCATTGAACGTGTGAGGTGCATTGAACGTGTGAGGTGCATAACGTGAGGTGCATTGAACGTGTGAGGTGCATTGAACGTGTGAGGTGCATTGAACGTGTGAGGTGCATGAACGTGTGAGGTTTGCATTTCATTGAACGTGTAAGGTGCATTGAAGGTGTGAGGTGCATTGAACGTGTGAGGTGCATGAACGTGTGAGGAGCATTGAGCGTGTGAGGTGCATGAACGTGTGAGGTGCATTGAACGTGTGAGGTGCATTGAACGTGTGAGGTGCATAACGTGAGGTGCATTGAACGTGTGAGGTGCATTGAACGTGTGAGGTGCATTGAACGTGTGAGGTGCATGAACGTGTGAGGTGCATTGAACGTGTGAGGTGCATTGAACGTGTGAGGTGCATTGAACGTGTGAGGTGCATTGAACGTGTGAGGTGCATAACGTGAGGTGCATTGAACGTGTGAGGTGCATGAACGTGTGAGGTTTGCAGTTCATTGAACGTGTGAGGAGCATTGAAGGTGTGAGGTGCATTGAACGTGTGAGGAGCATTGAGCGTGTGAGCTGCATGAACGTGTGAGGTGCATTGAACGTGTGAGGTGCATTGAACGTGTGAGGTGCATAACGTGAGGTGCATTGAACGTGTGAGGTGCATTGAAGGTGTGAGGTGCATTGAACGTGTGAGGTGCATGAACGTGTGAGGTGTGAGGTGCATGAACGTGTGAGGTGCATTGAACGTGTGAGGTGCATTGAACGTGTGAGGTGCATTGAACGTGTGAGGTGCATGAATGTGTGAGGTGCATTGAACGTAAGAGGTGCATTGAACGTGTGAGGTGCATTGAACGTGTGAGGTGCATGAACGTGTGAGGCGCATTGAACGTGTGAGGTGCATGAACGTGTGAGGTGCATGAACGTGTGAGGTGCATTGAACGTGTGAGGTGCATTGAACGTGTGAGGTGCATAACGTGAGGTGCATTGAACGTGTGAGGTGCATTGAACGTGTGAGGTGCACTGAACGTGTGAGGTGCATTGAACGTGTGAGGTGCATTGAACGTGTGAGGTGCATTGAACGTGTGAGGTGCATGAATGTGTGAGGTGCATTGAACGTGTGAGGTGCATTGAACGTGTGAGGTGCATTGAACGTGTGAGGTGCATGAACGTGTGAGGTGCATTGAACGTGTGAGGTGCATGAACGTGTGAGGTGCATGAACGTGTGAGGTGCATTGAACGTGTGAGGTGCATTGAACGTGTGAGGTGCATTGAACGTGTTAGGTGCATGAACGTGTGAGGTGCATTGAACGTGTGAGGTGCATTGAACGTGTGAGGTGCATTGAACGTGTGAGGTGCATGAACGTGTGAGGTGCATTGAACGTGTGAGGTGCATGAACGTGTGAGGTGCATGAACGTGTTAGGTGCATTGAACGTGTGAGGTGCATTGAACGTGTGAGGTGCATAACGTGAGGTGCATTGAACGTGTGAGGTGCATTGAACGTGTGAGGTGCATTGAACGTGTGAGGTGCATGAACGTGTGAGGTGCTTGAACGTGTGAGGTGCATTGAACGTGTGAGGTGCATTGAACGTGTGAGGTGCATAACGTGAGGTGCATTGAACGTGTGAGGTGCATTGAACGTGTGAGGTGCATTGAACGTGTGAGGTGCATGAACGTGTGAGGTTTGCATTTCATTGAACGTGTGAGGTGCATTGAAGGTGTGAGGTGCATTGAAGGTGTGAGGTGCATGAATGTGTGAGGAGCATTGAGCGTGTGAGGTGCATGAACGTGTGAGGTGCATTGAACGTGTGAGGTGCATTGAACGTGTGAGGTGCATAACGTGAGGTGCATTGAACGTGTGAGGTGCATTGAACGTGTGAGGTGCATTGAACGTGTGAGGTGCATTGAACGTGTGAGGTGCATGAACGTGTGAGGTGCATTGAACGTGTGAGGTGCATTGAACGTGTGAGGTGCATTGAACGTGTGGGTGCATGAACGTGTGAGGTGCATGAACGTGTGAGGTGCATTGAACGTGTGAGGTGCATGAACGTGTGAGGTGCATTGAACGTGTGAGCAGATGGGTGGAATGAGCGCGCAAGAACGGCCTTGCTCTTCCCCATGCTGCCGCGTATACTTTAAGCGGACGCCACTGACTCTTCGCCCTTAGGGTTTGGAGCAGGCGCTGGTGGCTCGACTTGAGTTACAGGCTCGAGCTGCAAAGTTTGCAGGGCGTGCCGCGAGAGGCGCCGCGGGAAGATTGCTGCTACAGTGACGCCGCTGGGGAGAATGTCGGAATGCACTAGTCGGAGAGGGGAGTGGTAGGTATAGGGAGAAAATCGCAGGCTGTGATGCTGGTAGTAGGAACAGACGAGGCGGTGAAGTGGGTAATGGGCTACGGCCCATCATAGCATGCTTAAATTGTTGAAGGTGGTTGGCTAACCATGACCTAGAACGACCTAACGCGATCTACATCGACCTAAGAAGAATTCGGTTTGACGAGCTGTGACTAAGGGAAAGCGAGGACCTAAGAAGAAGAGGAGCTACCTATGTTGGGACGGTGGAAGGAGAAACACGGTAGCGGCGCGACCTGCAGTGGGAATCGTAGAGAAGGAGGGGAAGTGTGCAGAAATGGAGAAGAAAACAGCTGAAATGTCGAGATTCCAAGCGACGTGAAGAGAAGTCACGCCGGGTCAAAGGCGCGTCCAAGGAAGTCTGATTCGAACTCGAGGCGCGTTCGGTGCATGGTTGGATTTGGAAATTGAGCCGAGTACAACTCAGCTCGAAATTAGGCGCGGCGCGAGGGCGAAATCAGAAATCCTTTTGCTTATAACTTGCTTTGTGTTTTCTGTTTTTGCATGCCTTCTTCAATGAAATTACTTGAACTTTCTGCCTTGGCGTTTTCCAGCAAATTCCTTCACACAGTTGGGGCCAGAGCTTCATATGCTTGTTACTAAGACTCTAAATAGTCTTCATGGTCTAGACTAAAGGCTGCGCACGTACAAGAGCTGGTATCAGAGCTGGTTTAAGGCGTGTTCTAGCGTTTTAAGGATAGGCGGAATTTACTAAGTATGACGGGCGATCATACTGAGGCGAGTTCGGGCTCCTCTGTGAGCATTGGAGGCTCAGAACTACAGGCCATCCTAACAGCGCTAGCTCAAGCTAAATTGACGGCGAAGCCAACGATTGGGCTTAGCGAGGCCCAACGATTCCATGGAGAAAATTATAGCACGTGGCGACTCAAGTTCATTCGTAGAGCGGAGGAAGTGGATCTCTGGCCGTATTATCATCCCGACAAGGAAACGGGAGAGGGCGTCCCACCATCTGCAAAAGAAAAACCAGAAGAAAATGCGTCATTCAAAAAAAGGAGTAAGCAAGCTTTTTTCTAATTGTGTCATTCAGTTTCGGACAGCATTGCAGTGGGGCTGGATCAATTTGCTGGAGAGGAGAACTCTGCCGAACGAGCCTGGGAGTACATGGAAGCTGCTTACCTTGGACTTACGGATACCAACAAAGCCGCCATTCGGAAGAAACTTCTCCTATTGAATATGGAGCCGAGGGAGAGGGTCATTGACTACATAAATCGAGCAAAGGGGTACAATGACGACCTCAAGGCTATGGGGGCAGCTGAAACTGAAGGAGAAATGATGGGGTACATCATTAGTGGGCTGCCCAAGGAGTGGGAAGCAGAGATAGGGCTCCTAACCTGCAACCCACCCGCAAATATGACCAAGCTGTTGGAGACGCTCCAAGCTCTGGAGCGGGTGAAAGCTGATCGGCTCAGGAAGGAGGTTAGCTTGAATGGAATGGGACCAGCCACACATGCTATGGTAAACGCAGCAGCAACAGGGAAAGGATATGGAGGTTTCGGGGCGTGTTTTCAGTGTGGAAAGAAGGGTCATAAGCAGATAGACTGCTATGATAACCCAAGGAGCAGAAATTTCAAGGGGAAATGGAGCGGTCCGCAGCAGAAGGGGCTGCAGAACGGATGGCAGCAGAGAGAGGGGGAGGTTCGAGGTGATAACAAGATGCAGAGAGGCGGATTTTCAGGGGCATGTCACTATTGCCAGAAAATTGGGCATAGGGCAGCCAACTGCTACTCGAACCCCAACAGCAGGAACTACCAAGGAGCAAACCAGCAGCAAATCAAACCAGCAGCAGCAAAAGCAAATGCAGTGGAAGCTGAAAACAGTGAAGCGGACGTCATCTTGGGAGGAGCTCACAAGGCAAACGTGGCAAGGGCATCGGGGGTGTGTTTGGTGGCAAAGGGGTTCGGTGAAGCAGCGTGGTTCATGGACAGTGGGTGCACTCAGCACATGACCAATCACTGCGAGTGGCTTACAAATCTGAGGGACTCCAACGTACCGTATGTGCTCTTGGGGGATGAAGGGAAGCTGATTGTGAAGGGGGAAGGAGAGTTGCTACTCCAAGGAGAGTACGGGGAGCTGAAGCTGGAAAATGTTCTCTTAGTGGAGAAGCTCTCACTGAATCTGATCAGCCAGTCTCAACTTGACAGCACGGGGTGCAAAACCTTCAGCGACAAAGGAAAGTTGTGGGTTTTCAATGAGGATTGGAAGGTGGTTGCAGAAGGGAACAGAAATCAGGGGTTGTATGAAATGAAGCTGAGGAAGAAGGGGCTGGAGGATGAGAATGCCACCTACCTGACATCACTCGAAGGGGACCTAGCTAGGGAGGAGTTGAAGGCTCGGCTTGGTGGCTTACCTGTGAAGGAGCTGCAGCAGGAAGCTTCTGCCATGGTGGTTGGGATGGAGCAGGTGGAATTGGAGACCTTGCACAGGCGCATGGGGCATGCAAGCATGGATAGGGTCAAGGAGTTGGTCAAAAAGGGCATGGTAAAAGGTGTGGCACTGAAGGAGGGGGCTGGAAGCAAGGGAAAATGAAGCAAGTGTGTTGAAGGTAAAATCACAAAGTCCCCTCACCCCCACCACCAGGTACATGAGCCTTATGGCACCTTGGACATCGTAGCAGCCGATGTGTGTGGGCCTATGAGGGTGGCGTCACGACACGGCAGCCGCTACTTCGTTACCTTCACTGATTTGGGAACGAGGCACACATGGGTGACGGAGCTGAAAGATAAGGCAGAAGTGTTTCCTAGCTTCGTGACTTGGATGGCGGAAGCGGAACGGCAAAGTGGGAAGGTGCTGAAAGTTTTAAGGACAGATAATGGAGGGGAGTTTACCGGTGAGCTGTTCAACAAGTTTTTACAGAGCAAGGGTATCCGACGGCAGCTGACTGTACCCTACACTCCACAGCATAACAGCATAGCGGAGCGAGTGAATCGGTCTCTACTAGACAGCGTGAGGAGCATGCTGGCCGACAGTGGGTTGCCGCTGAAATTTTGGGGTGATGCATTAGCTATGGCGTGCTGGTCCAAGAACCGGCTACCTACCAAGGGACTTCGGGCAGATATGACTCCCCACGAGGTCTTCTATGGCAGGAAGCCGAATCTGGGGTTCGCTCGGGTGTGGGGAAGTATGGTGCAATACAGGGAGCCAGCCGGTCCGGATCATAAGTTGCTGCCCAAGGCTCATTGGGGGATTAACCTCGGTACCTGCCCGGTGAGCAAGGGGTGGGTGATCAAGGATGTAATTTCAGGGAAGGTCATGATCACCCGGGATGTTGTCTTCTACGAGGAGGTGAACTACCTGCAGTGGAAGGGAGTAGAGAAAGAGATTGCAGCAGCAGGGACAGCAATTGCACCGGACAAGGTGGACGATCTTTTGGAAGAAAAGGAGAGTGAGGGAGTTGGTGATGAAGGAGATGAGGAACTCGAAGATGTGGAACGGGCAGATTCAGTTGATTGGGTGTGGGAGAAGGCACCAACCAGGGAAGCGGATGAAAGCAAGGTAGTGGAGATAGCAGGGGAGCAGCCAAGCAAAGAAGTAGCTGAGGATGGCATTGATGAAGTGGCTGAAGAAGAGGGAGATGAAGAATCAGCAGCTGAAGGAGATAGTGATCCTTGGAAGCTTCTAAACAGTGATGACAACAATGCCAAGATGAGGGAGATAGAGGACTTACTTGAGGAGGGCGCCATCGTGATTGGAAGGGAAGTGAAGAATGGAGAAGGGAAAGCACTGGCGGATTCCAGTGAGGATGAGGTCGAGTCACCTGCAGAGGAGTTGGGGAAAGGAAAGAGGGTGAAGAAACCAAACCCTCGGTATGCGCAACTGCTGATGACGTGCTGGAAGGACATCCATACCCACCTCCTACTCTCTGCCACAGCTACTGACCTAGTCTCCAATGAAGGAAAAGTGACACACAACCTGCCCAAAGAACCAGTGAGCAGAAAGGGAGCAGTGGAAAGCGGCAATTGAGGAGGAGTTGAACACATTGGCTGAAAGGGGCACATGGGAGCTCGTGCCTATGCCAGAAGGAAGGAAAGCCGTGGGGGTGAAGTGGATTTTTAAGATCAAGACCGGAGATATGGGGCAGCTGGAAAGGTTCAAAGCAAGGCTCGTAGCCAAGGGCTACACTCAGGTGGAGGGGAAAGACTACAACAAGAACGAAATCTATGCTCCAGTGAGCAAGTTGACAACGGCACGGGTCTTTCTCAAGGTGGTAGCAGCAAGGAAATATTTCATGGTGCAGCTGGATATTAAAAACGCGTTTTTGTATGGGGTGCTGAAGGAGGACATCTACCTCGAGCAACCACCAGGGCATGACGATGGCTCGGGCAGAAAATGCAAGCTCAACAAGGCATTATATGGGCTGAAGCAAAGTCCTAGGGAGTGGTATATGGCGATGGATGAGCGGCTACTGCAAGGGGGATTTCAGAAAAGTGAGTGTGATAGGGCATTCTACTGGAAGGGAGAAGGGAAGGAGAAGGTGTTCTTGGTGCTATACGTGGACGACATCTTAGTGGCAGGGGCGTTAGAGGAGGAGGTAGAGAAGGTGTGCACTCACCTTGCGGAAGTGTTTCAAGTGAAGCGAATTCCACGGACCACACTCTTTCTCGGCATGAATCTGGAGCGGCGTAAGGAGGAGAGCAAGATGTTTCTGTACCAGCAGAAATATTGCAGCAGGGTGCAGCAAAGGTTTGGCAACGGCTACACGAAGGCGATTTCTACACCATTGAGTGGGGTAGCTGAAAACGACGGTGAACGAGAGGAAGATGTCAACCAATGGGGTAGCAAGGAGAGGGCTCTACAGGTATACCAGTCCATGGTGGGGTCCATAATGTATCTGGTCTCATGCACGCGTGTCGATATGGCATACGCAGCTAGCTATCTTGGGCAACAAGTGCAGCAGCAAGGGGAGAGAAAATGGAGAGAGATGAGGAGGACTATCGACTACCTACTGCAACATGAAGATGAGGGACTGTTATTCGAAGGAGGTGAAGAGACCTTGGAGTTAGTGGGGTATGCGGATGCTTCACACGCATCCGACAAGAAAACAAGGAAGGGAGCATACGGTTACGTGTTTCTGCTCGGCGGGACAGCAATCATGTGGCAAGCAAAAAAGTTGGCTGACATATCGCTCTCTAGTGCGGAAGCGGAGTACATGGCTCTGTTTTACGCATGCCAAGAGGGGGTTTGGCTGAGAAGGCTACTCAAGGAGATGGAAATAAAGGTGGAAGGACCTACGGTGATTCGCTCGGACAGCAAATCTGCAATCGATTTGGCTCATAACGACAATTGGCACGGCAGGACCAAGCATATGGACGTGAAGTATCATTGGGTGCGTTCAAAGGTGAGTAGCAAAGAGTTTGAGTTTGAATTCGTGCGTACGGAGGCACAGACGGCAGATTTTCTGACTAAGGTGTTACCAAGGGCTAATTTTGAGCGTTGCAAGAGAGAGGTTGGGATACGTACCTTGGCTGAATTGTAGGGGAGTGTGGTGCAGGCCTAGAGGTGGTTCAAGGTGAAACGTACGAGGGAGCGTGCATAAGCTGGTGGTTAGCAAACCACAGGGGAGATTGTTGAAGGTGGTTGGCTAACCATGACCTAGAACGACCTAACGCGATCTACATCGACCTAAGAAGAATTCGGTTTGACGAGCTGTGACTAAGGGAAAGCGAGGACCTAAGAAGAAGAGGAGCTACCTATGTTGGGACGGTGGAAGGAGAAACACGGTAGCGGCGCGACCTGCAGTGGGAATCGAAGAGAAGGAGGGGAAGTGTGCAGAAATGGAGAAGAAAACAGCTGAAATGTCGAGATTCCAAGCGACGTGAAGAGAAGTCACGCCGGGTCAAAGGCGCGTCCAAGGAAGTCTGATTCGAACTCGAGGCGCGTTCGGTGCATGGTTGGATTTGGAAATTGAGCCGAGTACAACTCAGCTCGAAATTAGGCGCGGCGCGAGGGCGAAATCAGAAATCCTTTTGCTTATAACTTGCTTTGTGTTTTCTGTTTTTGCATGCCTTCTTCAATGAAATTACTTGAACTTTCTGCCTTGGCGTTTTCCAGCAAATTCCTTCACACAGTTGGGGCCAGAGCTTCATATGCTTGTTACTAAGACTCTAAATAGTCTTCATGGTCTAGACTAAAGGCTGCGCACGTACAAGATAAATGGCATCGCCAAGCCACGATACTAGCGGTGAAATGTAAGTGCGACCTAACTCATCGCCTGGCGACTCCGCGAATCCGCCTGGTGTGCGGCGGCGCATTGACGCGCACGGTGCCCGTGACGAGCGCGAGCGTGCCCGTGACGAGCGCGAGTGCTTTCGCCGTGGCCGACGGCGGCGGAAGTCATTCCTGGGAGAACGCGATCCTATCCAGCTGATATGGCTTGGAGTGAAATCCTAGGTGGATTTGGTGTGGCCAATGAGGTTTGACGGCTTGAAACGTGTTCCAGGACTACACCCCATGTGACTGACGTTGACCTCCTTCCCGGTTGACGGGGTCAATCTCGAATGGTCCTTGTGACATGTATCTGACGGGCACACATGTGATTGACGGCCCCTACTCTCTGACTGACACTTGGTCAGATCTGACCGCTTCTCGCAATAGAACGCGTTTCAGGGAAATGCCCAATCCTCGTGTGACTGAGGCTCAACCTCCTCTCAGACGGACACGAAGTCACGATGCCTTTTCGAACATTGGCGATCATCGATGGAACAAGCTGAAACCAGCTCTTGCCGACGAATTTATTCATTGGATATAACACCGTGTTACATTTGACGATCGCTATTCCTTCGTGCCGATTTCGCCCTCCAAACCCAACCAGCCCACTTCTCTGGTTTGCGGTACGAGCAGAACCTCGACATTGTTAGAAGCCGTTCTGCACAAACAGCTAGATCGTAGGAGCGCACCTCCCATCGCAAGAAAGAGGTGCCTCGACTCGCATCCACGGAACCAGTACGAACGGTGGCACCGTTCCCTCGCCCATTCATTCTTTCGCGCGCGTCGTGTCGTCCCGTCACTATTCTCCGCCTCGTCTCAAACTCATTCTGAAACACTCTCGGAATTTGCAGGGAGTCCCTCGCGACACGATCGGAGTCGCTAAACCTCGGCCATTACGCACCACGCACTGCAGCTCGACTCTCCCGCGCCGCTGCTTAGTCACTTCGAGAGCCGTACGAAAACGACAGTCTCGGAAACCGTAATTAGAGGTAAGCCCCCCACCCCGGTCGGCCATCCGCGTTGCAAGCATGAGGCTCACAGCCTACGAACCATGGTGCTCGTAATCCTGTCAGAGGGTCCAATGTGCAGCTTTTGGTCACATACTAAATCCGTGGCGAATTCTGCACATTGCCTAGAAACTAGCAAAGCCCCTTGACGCATGCTTGCCCCTCGTAGCATTGGGTGTCGCGGCCCCTTCACATGCTGTGTTCACTCGCCCTGATTCGTACACTCACGCTGTCACTTACCCAGGATCTGGCCGACCTAGCCTGTGACCCACCCCAGCTTGTGACCGACCTAGGCGGTGACTGACACAACTTGTGAGTGATCTTGACCGTGATTGACCTAGCCTGTCTGACCTAGCCTGTCTGACGTAGCCTGTCTGACCTAGCCTATCTGACCTAGCCTGTCTGACCTAGCCTGTCTGACCTAGCCTGTCTGACCTAGCTTGTCTGGCCTATCTTCTCTGACCTAGGCTGTCACTGACATACCTGGTGATTGACCTAGCTCGTGGATGACATAGCTTGTGGCTGGCAGCCTGGACATGTGCACAGGGATGAGTCGAGTCGAGTCAACCTCGAGTCGATCAAGAGTCAAATGTTGGTCGATTTGGTAATGTGGCTGTTAATTCACAAAAGATGCGCAAGTGTGGGTCCTTTGCTGGTGGCATGTACCCAAGGTAAGTGCTTGGGTCGCGACAACCTGCTCGACTAGCAATGAGTCAGCTACATCTCGTCGAATCATGACTTGGCGAGACATGCTGACTCAATCCAGTCAGGGGATGCATTGTCCATTTGTTTCACCTGACTCGACTCGACTCGGTTTCATTCAAATAGGAGATTGAACCGACGCCACTCGACACACACGAGTTGGGCGAGTTGAGTCGAATCTTAATCGCTGCCCGCGTCTAACGTGGCTTGTGGTTGGCCTTGCATGTGACCGACCCAGGTTGTCATGAGTAACCCAGCCTATGACTACCTAGCTTGTGCATGACATAGCCCGCAAGTCCCCTAACCTCTTACCACCATTCTAACCAATGACCGACCTGATTTTTGTCAGACCTAGCCTGTGCTTGACCTAGCGTGGGGCCCACCTATTCCATGAAGGGTTTAGACTGTGAGTGTCTCTGTTTGTGGTTCTCTTAACCTGTGAGTGACACAGCCTCTGACTGACGGAATCTCTTACCGATTTAACTGAGTCTGACCTAGCTTGTGATTAACCTAGCCTCCGCGAGACCTATTCTATGAGTGACCTAGCTTGTGGCTAACCTAGCCCGTGACCAACATACCCTCTGGCTTAACAAAGCCTCTGACTGACCAAGCTTGTGGGCGGGGATTGCCTTTGACTGGCCTATGTTTCAACTGAGATATTCAGTGAGTGGCCTAGCCAATAAGTGACCTGGCCAATAATTGACCTGTCCAATTACTGACCTTGTCAGTGAGTAACCTAGCCTTGAATGAACTGACTCAAATCGTGACCGAGCTATCCCATATTGACTCACAGGTAGGTCATGCCCGCCCTAGCTTTCGAGTGACCTAGGCTGTATCCGACCTACCTACCTGTATTAAACCCAGCTTGTGCCTTGCTGGCCACTCCGTCACGACCTCCTCCAGGTGTAACCCACCACCTCAGGGACTCACGAAAACCAGTTCGACCTGAGTTGCACCGGTTTCTGATCACTCCCGGTGGGCGTCTCAAGCTGACCTGCTCACTGAGATCCGAGTGGACTCCCAAACTACGTTTTGAGTTGAATTCGG